TTTATTTATTCATTCTTTTTTGTTACTTTAGTTTTGACACTTTTTGGTCTTGGGCATTCTGTGGCTTTATTTTAAATGGAATCTTATATTCTAATGTATTCGAGAGGGAAGGAAAAGTAAAAGCAGTGGATAAGTTTCTAGCTGGGACAAAGGAGATAGGGGTTGTTGGAGAGGAGCGTGTGGCATGGAGGCATGCTTTTGTTTGATTTTGTTGATTGTGGTTTGGGGTGCCTGCAGGATGCCTGTATAATGTTTGGTTAGCACTGAGTGCTCCATCAGCCCAACTAAAGCTTAAACAGATCTGGCCATAGAACTAGTATTCTGAAAGGAAACACAAATGGCTCCAGCGTCTAGGAAGATGAAGTGAGTGAGTAGACAGGGCAGCAAGCAGCTACTGTTCAGCTAGTGAGAGCTGTGGATTCACGTGAGAACTGTGGATTCACGTGAGAACGTAGACCCTGGGTTGCAGAGCTTCTGATGTTTCAAGAGAAAACAAAAATCTGAATCATAAAAATTTAGAGAGCTCTTTGTTTAAAAACAACTGTTCAAATTAGGAAACTAACTTCTGTGACTTCATTATTATATCCTTTTCACTGTTCGTGTTTGCTTCAGGTACAACTCTGGTGTCATATATCTTTATGTATATAGACAGACAGGATATGATTTATTACAAAGAATTGGCTTGTGTGATTATGGAGGCTGAAATTCCACAATCTGCTGTCTGCATGCTTGAGACCCGGGAAAGCCAGTGGTGTAGTTTGAAGGCACAAGAGCCAGAGGGCCCCTGGTACAAGCTCCAGTCTGATCTGAAGGTCTGACAACCAGGAGTTCCGCAGGCAGGAGAAGATGGATGTGATGTTCCAGCTCAAGTGATCAGGCGGAGCAAGAATTCAACTTTCCTCGGCCTTTTCATTCCGTTCAGTACCTCAGTGGGTTACATGATGCCCATCTGCTTTGGGGAGGGTCATCTGCTTTACTCAGTTCACCAGTTCAAACTCTAATCTCTCCTGGAAACATACACACACCAGGAATAATATTTATAGACATATCTGGGCATCTTGTGGCCCAGTCAAGCTGACGCACAAAATTAATCATCACATTTTGGAAACTGCGCTGATGGCTCCAATTCTTTAGTCTTATTTCCATATCCTTTGCACATGACTTTGTGGTTTTATGAGAGGGAAAATCTTCCTCCCACCTTTGAGGCTGGGTTTGGCCATGTGATTTGACTAGTAGAGTGAACTAACATGCCAGCAAGTGGACCTGTTGCCAGTTTAGGTCTCAAGAGGCCTGAGTGGTTCCGCTTACTCTCAGGGGTTCTACCACTGCCATAAGAGGGGCACACTCAGCCGAGTGTGCTGGTCTCAGGAGGAGGATGAATGAC